TGAGCCTCATCTCAGTGTACCCTATTCCTCAAATTATTCTCTAATTATCTGGTTCATCGTATCTCCTTGCAACTAACGCAGGTGCTATGAGAGCTGGGATTGTCGTCCGTTTGGTTTACTGCTGTATCGCGCAAATAGATTTTTATTACTTGAATGACAATAATTAACTTAATTGATAAAATTATCACTTTTATTTGGGCATAATTTATCTGCTTGTAAATAATTCAGCTGCTAATTCGAACTGCATCAAGGGACGTAGATATTAAGATTGGACATCTGTGAGTCTATGAATATGTGGAGATGTGAAATAGGAAAAGGTCCACAGACCTGCTCTGAGAGGTACGTGTACCGAGAGTATCACTGTGATCAAGTCAGTTCCCTGAACCTGCTGCCCCTGTAGATGGGGCCTTTGTCACAGAATAGACCAGAATAGGCCTCATAAGGACCCCTGTTACCGTTCTCGGACACCTGAAATCAATCCCCAGTCTTTTCTGCCGGGACTTGACCCCTATGCTTGCTCTGTTCACACTGCCAAGGTCATTTGTGCTGGGAAGTTTGAAAGTGGAGCCTGTTTTCCCTGGTTATTGACCCCCAATTTGAGCAGCCAAATCCTACATGTTTCTTGAGCTCACCTTCTGATTGAGTTCACATAACTAATCTTATGTTTTATTCCTCTAAGCAGGCAGAGGTCTTTCTGAACATGGTTGCTCTAATCTCTAATTTTCGCTACACTTCAATTACATCTTAGTGGTTTTTGATAGGATTCATGCACTTAGGAACATCTGAGATTTTTTGAGGTTGAGCCTCTCACTCCTAAGGCTCGTTGGCAGGCACCAAAGTTACCTCTGATTGTGACGTTGCTTTTGTCTGCTCCAACTTTTTCAGCCAACTTGAAATTTCTGGTCATCTTTTTGGACTATGGCATAATCCCTAGAAAGTCTCTTTAAAATGAAAGAATGGAGGGGCGCCTGGGTGGCTCAGTCGGTTAAGCGTCCGACTTCGGCTCAGGTCACGATCTCGCGGTCTGTGAGTTCGAGCCCCGCGTCGGGCTCTGTGCTGACAGCTCGGAGCCTGGAGTCTGTTTCAGATTCCATGTCTCCCTCTTTCTCTCTCCTCCCCTGCTCATGCTCTGTCTCTCTCTTCTCAAAAATACATAAACGTTAAAAAAAATTTTTTTAAGTGGAAGAATGGAGTTGCTTGTGGAGAAGCAGATTGGTCCCTGATAGCATGGGCACCAGGTTGGCACATTTTGATGGAAGTGGGTGGGGTCGGGGGGAGGATAGTGTTGGAAGCTGGGACCTGGGGCATTGACCGCAGATAGCAGACATAAGCAAATGGCACTCAAAGAGGCCATGAGTATGAAGGAGGTTAGTGTGAGAGAAGAAGGCAGGTCAGACGAGAAACAGGAGAGCATGAAAAGAGAGGCATGTGGCATCGAAAAGAACCCTCAAGATTCTGTCCTGGGACCTTCTATAGTCTGACCTGTAAGATGACGTGTACTTTTTTTCCCCTTTAAACGGACAAGAACGAATAAATAATAATCTTCAAAGATTCCTGAGTTGTGGGAATTGGTCCAACATGCTTTGGGTTCACAATCTTATTTAGTTTCTTTTAGTTTTTTCTTTTTTTTTTTTTTCTTAATTTTTTTTTTCAACTTTTATTTATTTTTGGGGGGACAGAGAGAGACAGAGCATGAACGGGGGAGGGGCAGAGAGAGAGGGAGACACAGAATCGGAAACAGGCTCCAGGCTCTGAGCCATCAGCCCAGAGCCTGACACGGGGCTCGAACTCACGGACTGCGAGATCGTGACCTGGCTGAAGTCGGACGCTTAACCGACTGCGCCACCCAGGCGCCCCTAGTTTTTTCTTTTTAAGTAGTAATTGGCTTGGTCTTAGAAATAAACTGACACACAAATCTTCTTGGTTCCTCCACGTCTTGCATGCAAGTTGAGTGTTGAACAAAGAGCTGTACCTAGGAATTACCGAACCTAGACAAGAAGGCAGGTAGGTCAGCTTTGGGGTCATTTGGTGTGGTGCTATAAATGTCTGAAACCTTGCTATATTTAGAATGCGTATTTAGAATGCATGTTCACTCATTTTGTAGGTGAAGTCATTATGTCATTGTGGGGTGGTTGGTGCAGGGCAGAGCAGAGGGCTCCCTGTACTGGGCCATGGGGTTTGGGAATGATCCTGGCCCCATCACGGACTCCACTGACCTATAAAAAGTATTGTTAATCTTCTTACTGTCTGGCTTACAAGATCTGAGAGGAGAAATGAGGTAATGTCTACTTAGACCTTCGAGTTTCTCGGAAGAACGGCTGTCTACAGTAATATGATTTCCTAATGCATTTGTTTGTGTGGTAATGGAGTATAATTCCATTTACCTAAATTTCTGTAGGTACCTCTAGAACATCTGACAGTCTTGCACAGGAGAAGCAGTCTGGCTTTTAGATGAGAACTGGGCCTAGACTAGAATCCCCCAAGGGTACAAGTGAGCCAGCTTGTAATTTATGAAGTTAGGGGAAGGAAGCTGAGAGACGACGGAAGGGGGGTTAAAGTTGGTGGTGATGGTGGGGCAGGGTGTTGTAATTATAATCGGAGAGTTTATATTGTATTTTCAAGTCATGTTGTTTTATTAAATATCATCATCTCAGTATCTTTGAAAAATACACGTTTATTTTAATTCAGCAATATTACATATTAGATGACTCGTCTGCAATATCGATACCGCTATTATTCTCTGTATTGATAGACTCTTTAAAACTTCCTTCGAGATTTTTAGTTTATTATGTTTCTTGGGCCACAAGCTGGTTGTTTAAAAACTTGTTTCTGACTCTGACATCAGTAGGCCCGTGCCACCAATTACAATTGCATAGATTCATTTGTAAAGTACCTAGTAGGTTACCAAATAATGCCTTCTCTTTGTTTTGTAGAAAAAAGAATAAGTCTCTTTCTGGGAATAGTCGTGGGCAGTGTAATTTTTTATCTAGCCATTTTGAGCAGTATTGCGCTTGAGTTGGCTTTCTAGTCAGTTCTCAGAAGAGAAGTTAAAACAAAGGGTGAAAAGTGGTGGAAGCATACGTATGTGTCACCTCTGGCATGCTATAAAGAGGTTCATTTTGATTACAGTTATCATTATTGAACAGTTTTGTTGTAGAATTTTCTAGAAGCAGTCATTTCTTTGGCATTTCCAACCTAGTATTTCACAAGGAGGTCAGCCGTCTATAAAGGAGTTTTAAGTAACTATTACGTTAAACCAGGAAAGAAAACAGTATGCCTTCTCTTCCAGAGACGTGCCTGTATACATTTTTTAGTAGCAACTGCTTTGTATTGTGAAAGCAATATTACTAACCATATTCCTTTCCTGGGGGGGGAGGAAAAGTGTTATACTTTCACTTGCTAAGTTATGGAATGTACTGTAGAGAGAACATTTCTTGACACCCAAAATGCGGCCTGAGAAAATAAATTACTACCGAATTGTGTATTGCGTGCCAAGAACATATGAAAAAAGTCACCGTCTCTCAAATTAAAGAACATCTCATACAAGGAGATGACATAGAACCACTACTCCTCCCTTATCCTTGGTTTCATGTCCCATGATTTCTATTACCTGCGGTCAACTGCAGGCCAAAAGCAGATGATCCTCTGACACGCGGTCAGAAGGTCAAGAGTGGCCTATGTCACATGCCTACATCGTTCGCCTCCTTCCTCTCACCACGTAGGCATTTTATCATCCCACACCATCACCAGAAGGGTGAGTACAGTACGTGAAGATATTCTGAGAGAGGCCACATTCACACAACTTTTAGTACAGTGTAGTGCTGTAATTGTCCTACTTTATTATTGTTGTTCTTAATCTCTTACTAGGCCTAATTTATAAACTTTATTCATAGGTATGTACGTACAAGAAAAAACAGAGTATATATAGGGTTCAGTATTATCAGCAGTTCTGGGCACCCACTGGGGCTCTTGGAATGTATCCTTTGCAGATGAACGGGGGGCCGCTATACTATGGGACTTCCCTTTGGACTAAAATCTTTTACTAAAAAAATTATGACTCTGAGATACAATTCATATCAAGTTAGACTGTGATAATGTTTTTTTTTACATTTTTTTAATGTTTATTTTTGAGAGAGAGAGAGAGAGAGAGCGAGCATGAATGGGGGGAGGGGCAGAGAGAGAGGGAGACACAGAATCCGAAGCAGGCTCCAGGCTCTGAGCTGTCATCACAGAGCCTGATGCGGAGCTCAAACCCACGAACCGTAAGATCATGACCTGAGCTGAAGTTGGATGCTTAACCGACTGAGCCACCCATGTGCCCCAGACTGTGATAATGTTAATGAAACCACACTTCTGTTGGAAGAGGTCATCTAGAGGACGTGACTGTTGGCTGACCCCTGAGCTACACCTGGGCTGTTGGAGGCTCCTCACCCTCTCCCCTGTCCTTGGGATGTATGTTCTGCCCACCGTTCCCACCATGGGAGCTGCTCCAAGGATGCAGCCTTGAGAGAGTAATGTGGTGTTGAGACCACACATGACTGAGCCCAGTTACGGCCTCTATAAAATTTTTAAAATTCTGGCAGGTGGATGTGAAGATCTACCCATCTTGCAGGTGCCCAAGACAAGCCTTGGAAATAAGTCTCCTTGTTTATTAAACTACCGCCTGCCAAACTTGAAGTGGTCCGCCTCTTCCTTTGGTCTCTCCCTGCCCTTCACGCGTGGAGGCCAGAGGCAGAGGTCACCTGGGGAGGCTCCTGAGGTGGTGAGCTCACAATTTTCTGTTCCTGAACCGTGCACTACAACGTGAGCATTTCCGAATTTTAAATGTGTTGTGCAATCTTATGTCCTCCTGTAAAACTTCATCATAAACTCAGGAATTGTTCCAATTGTGCGTGAATATAGCCAAGGCCTACCTTTGAAAAAAAGATGGAAAACTGTCCTTTTTGTATCGATCTGTTGCACGTCAAATTGTGATGTTTTTTATTTGCTATGTGTTTCAGAATCGAAGCAAACGCTTGGAGAAGGTCCATGTGGTTATTGGACATAAATCGTGTGAGTTGGATTCTCTCATTTCCGCCTTCACGTACGCTTACTTTCTAGACAAGGTGAGGGGAAAGAAGACTGTGCTTTTTATATGTGAATTATGATATAACTTCCAAGGGCAAACATTTTCGGGATAAACGAGGAACCTATTCACTTCCATTTTCACGTTCTGGTTTATTGTTGCCGAGAATAATGTATTATGATTCATTAAACACCAAATACTTACTGGTCACCTACAGTGCGTTGGGTAGGGTCTAGTTGTTTCTTATCGACTCCCTCATAAGACATTTCGATAAGGTCACAGGTTCCAGATTTTAAAAAATATATGATAGTTGTTTACTTTCATGGGAATTCAGAGAACTAACAAAAGTAAGGGTCAGAATTTCTTGTTTTCCTTTATCACAGCTTGTTGGTTAGTCTTGCCCTTGGGAATAGAGAAGTAAGTGTAGAATAACCTGTGCGAACATTACATGCAATTCGGAACCTATTGGCTGGAATTTTCAGGAACAGAGGTGTTACATGTCGCATCTATGTTCTGTTCTTGCCCGTTAGCCCTGACTTTGTACAGCAAGGTCATTCTCAGTTAGTGATGATCTCCCTTGAGTGAGAATCTTTGTATTCTGTGCAAAGTCTATAACCTCCCTACAGAGGTGGAAAAGACCTTTTAACAAATTGTTTTAAAATTGCCATTTCATAAAATTCATCAGCCCGTGATAATGCGTCACCTCAAAGCCTAAAAAAGTACATTATGAGTATCTTGGTGCGGTTTCCAATTTCACAGAATTTTTAATTTTCCAGAGTCTGATTTGTTTTATTCCAATTTTGTTTGGATTCTTGGCTCTGAGAGTATGCATAGCTGATCTCGGGTGATTTAAATTCACATGAAACCTAGTCTTCTAGAGTGAGCTGTGGGTGGCAAGAATGGCTTAGGGCAGCAGCTGACGAGAGCCAGGTAAAATATTCTGATCTCTGCATATGGACTTTGTATCAAATTTATCTTAAAATTTGTTGAACGTGGGGCGCCTGGGTGGCTCAGTCGGTTAAGCGTCCGACTTCAGCTCAGGTCATGATCTCACAGTTCGTGAGTTTGGGCCCTGTGTCGGGCTCTGTGCTGACACCTCAGAGCCTGGAGCCTGCTTCGGATTCTGTGTCTCCCTCTCTCTCTGCCCCTCCCCTGCTTGCGCTCTGTCTCCCCGCTTCTCTCTCTCAAAAAAAAAAAAAACAAAAAAAACAAAAAAACATTAAAAAATATTAAACTTTGTTGAACTTTACAAGGGCGATTAATTGGTATAAGGAGATAAACATGCCTATGTGAAGAAATGCATATTAAATACTTAATCCTATTACCTGGACTTTTTGACTCCTAGAAAACAAATGTTGCTTGTCTCGAGAACATAGAGTTGACTGAACAAGACTGGTCTTTAGAAAGATAGTGGTGTGGACTCTTAAGGAAATTATATAACACCACCACCCCCACCAACTCCAATGTCTTGAATGAATATAACACGCAACCAAAGGAGTGAGAAAGTAGTTGTGATAGATAAAATGGGTAAAGAGATGTATGGCCTCTTTTCTCCTTCTAAGGCTCAGCATGGGGACAAATATGGAGTAACTGGAGGGTCACATACTGGAATTTGTTATATTTCTGTGCCTTCCTCTTAGTTTACTGGCCCTGCCCCCTACCAGAGGTCTGCATCTCCATTTGAATTTTCTTCTGAGAACGTGGCTACTTCCTCTGAGAGTATAAACGTGGAATAAATGCAGAGCTTTGCAGCTTCCCATGTATGACCCTATTTAAATACTTTTCCTTCTGGTAGGTAAGCCCCATTCTACAAATGGGCTAAACTGAGCTTCAGAAAGAAAAATGGCATTCTCCAAGGCACCCAGCAGAGGTTGGGGGGCTAGAAACCTTCTTCTGGTCCTAACCTCCAAAGAGATCTTGCCAGGATAGGCTCAGGCCACGTGTGCTTGACTCAAGTTTCAGTATCAGGAGTTAGAGATAACTCAGTCAACTAATTAGGAAAAGTAAATTTCTATACACAAATTTCTTTTTTTTTTTTTTTTTAATTTTTTTTTCTCAACATGTATTTATTTTTGGGACAGAGAGAGACAGAGCATGAACGGGGGAGGGGCAGAGAGAGAGGGAGACACAGAATCGGAAACAGGCTCCAGGCTCTGAGCCATCAGCCCAGAGCCCGACGTGGGGCTCGAACTCGCGGACCGCGAGATCGTGACCTGGCTGAAGTCGGACGCCTAACCGACTGCGCCACCCAGGCGCCCCAGGAATTTTTTAAAAATAAAGGTTCTTTGAAAAATTACTATGAGTGCACAGCAATAAACCCCAAATGCCCTGAGAGAAGGTGGGGTTTGGTAACACTGAATTTTTGCATAAAGTAAATGGCCTTTGTTCTCACATCATCACCCGCTCTGTCAAAGCATAGTGCTTATTACACAATTTTAATATCTTTGTCATCTATCTCCTTTCCCGGCATTAACAAGGCAGCGATTTTTGTCTTTTTTGTTCAGTCATGTTTTCTAGTGCATAAAACAATCTGGCACATAGTAGGCATTTAATACTTGTTTGTTGAGTGAAACAAATGAACCACCCATTGCTATAGTATATAAAGCACAAAGCCGTTCCAACAAAGTGCTTTTTCTTTTAACTGTCAGGCTAATCCTGAATCACAGTTGGGCAATAATCATTAGAAATTTATGTATAGCCAAATCAAAACCACACTGAGATACCACCTCACGCCAGTCAGAGTGGCTAAAATGAACAAATCAGGAGACTATAGATGCTGGCGAGGATGCGGAGAAATGGG